TGGATGCTATTATTTGGGGACCTATTTGCAATGAATTAAGAAAGCGTGGAAATATGTGTTTGGCGGCATATTTTGTTAATTCTATTTCTTCTAGATATGGGAAAAATAATTTAGACAGTCAATTCACTTTTTCAACAAAAATATTATGGGTAGAGTCGAACAAAAAACCCAATGATTCGGATTTAGTCTGATTATAGTAATTATGTGGAACCGAATGGTTCCATTTATAAAATACCCAAAGTATAATGGGTGGTTTCGCGTATTGAAATTTTCAAACCGACTTATGCGACGTTCAAATCTAATTTTGAGGCTCGATTCAGTCCACCATATGAGCTAGTTTGCAGACAATCCGAGCATGAGCTAGCTCATTTTCAAATAGCCGCCCAGCTCAACCGCCTCGTGGATGAGGCAAGCTGAACCGGCTCATGGTCATTTTTTAGACTTTTGTGAAAAATGAAAATTGACCTTTTCACCTCGAAGTATAATGAAGAGATAAGTTTTTAACAAAAACTCTATTTTTATCAAAAGAATTATAAAGTTGTAAAAGTACAACTTTTACTTAAACTCAGGATCGACTACATGACATGTGAGTTGAAGTTAAAATTGTACGCAAATTAATATTTTATATATAATTTTTTTTACAGAAAAATAAAATAAATAAAATTTAATAACGAATGAAGGAATGAAATATACTTAACAATACTATTTTAGTAATTGATAAGTGCATTTTATAAATTTTTTTGAACTTAAAAATATAAACATTTAATAGTTCTTTTGATCAATTATAACCTAATTTATTATATATTTCATTTATTAGGTGAAACTCGATGAAAAGAAGTGAATTTAAAAGAAAGAAGCGAAAATTGACGAAAAAAAGGGGACAAAATTCAAGTTTGGGGGCTGAAGTATAAATACTCAAAAGCAGTGTTGAAACTCACGATGAAGATTCGAGAATACTAGGGGTCAATTGGATGGTATTAGAAGTAAAAAATGAGTGAAACATGGACACAAATCAATTTTCAACCGCACGAGTATGTTCCAGATTTTTAGCTCAAGATTGAAACCCATTTTTGACCTAATAAACATTTGAATTGGAAACAAAGCTATTCGAGCAAAGTTATAGACATTTGAGTTATTTTTTCAACGCACTTTGAATCGCCTTAATAGGATATCAGAAGAGAAAGTTACAACAAAACACTGAAGAAGGCGCATGGTGGGAGCAGCGGTGGCACCGAGGCATCACCTAGGCACCCATTCTTAGGAAAAAGACCAAATTCGTGGTGTCGCAGCATTACTACATGGTGCCTAGGCTTTACTCGCCGCTAAAATAGGGTTTTCAAGTGCAATTCATCTTTTTAAAAACTCAATTCAACTTAAACTCATCCTAGACTCAAGACATAAATACAACTATAGTTCTACACAATTTGGGAGAGAGAAAAATACATAATCATCAAGATAAAAGAGCAAAAGGTAGTGTTTAAAGGCTTTTGAGGTTGAAGAAAATTCTTGTTCATGATCAAGATTTCAAAACTTGGTTATTAATTATATACTTTTTGTTTTTCTTTCATTATTATGAGTACTTAAATTCATAATTAGGGCGAACAATGTAATCTATGTGTAACTCTTTATCTCTTTTATTCAAAATTTTAATTTTTTAAATATATATGTGTTGATTTTATTCATGAGTTTAATGCTTTGAATTCTTTGGCCAATTNTTTTTTTTGTGTTGAATTTATTCATGAGTTTAATGCTTTGAATTCTTTGGCCATTTATTCATTGATTTTGTGAATTTATTACGAATCTAGATGTGAGCTTTAGATTTAGACCACATTGTAAAATTCGGTAATTTAGTATAACGTGTAAAGATATATATACTTGCGGTCATTAGATGAATTCTTAGAACAAATACTTCGTTTAACTATGGTTGATACACATAGAGATATGAAATTGAATTAGTTAAATAGACTCAATGAAAATTCGATAGGGGTAAATTGAATACTTTAAAAGAATTTGGCCCATACTAATGTCTTGTCCGATGTTGATGTTCCAAATATCTTAATTGCATACATTTTGAACTTAGGAAAAGATAAATCTCTATAGATCGAATCACAGTACTAATTGTACAATTCTATAATTCTTTCTCGTAGTAAAGATATATTTATTTCAAAGATAAAATACAAATTATTTTAAATTAACTGAAAAACGATGATTGACTACGCACAATTTGAGACGGGGTGCAACTAGAAAAGAATTAGTGCGCATCGAAAAATATTTTGAAAATGTATCTCATCGCGACACATAACAGAGAATCTCCACATCTATACTGCAAGAAGACTAAAGAATTATTTAATAATAAAGCTATAACAAAATTTAAATTGTTGAAAAGGAATTCACATTGCATAAGACGAAAATATATTTGAACAGATTATAAAAATAAAATGCTTATATTTCACTTATAATGAGACAAAACGACTTCATTGAAATTGATGACAAAAAGTAGTCTTTTCATTTCTGTAACGAATCAAAGTTTCAAACTATTATCATTTTGTTCGCGGAAAAAAATAAATTATTTTGGATAATATGAGGAATATTACAGTGAAAGCAGCATTTGTGCCTCCCCATTTTTGATTTTGCATTCTCCAATTTACCTAGAGGACCTTACAATGTATGATCACCAGACTGTACAATTAACTGTAAAGACTTGACGTGACAATTATATGGAAATGTTCTTGTAGAGAAAATAATGAGCAAATTGATCGGACCCAAGCCCACACCCCCCAGTCCAAGTGAGGTTCCAACCCAAAATCAATTGGTAATGGGTGGAATAGCCCACTTGAGTTATATGGTGGTGGACCACATCATTGTGGCCTCCTCTGAAACGATAATTCATTTGTCAATCATCTTGTACTGCCGTTATTACCTTCGCCTTCGACCAAATGGGACCCGCCGCCTGACCACCAATGTCGGAAGACTTTCGATTCAAGGAACTTCAAACGCGAATGTTTTTTAGCCCGATCCCCACCACGCTTTCTCCTTCGACCCTGAGCTCTGATACCAGTTGTAGAGAAAATAATGAGCAAATTGACCGGGCCCACAACACCAAATCCAAGTGAGGTTCCAATCCAAAATCAATTGGCAATGGATGGAATAGCTCACTTGTATTATATGATGGATTTCTTTTCTTCTCCCAGCCGATGTGCGACTTCTTGTTTGCTCCCAACAGTTCTATTAGAAGTAAAAGAAAATGTTAACTAATGTAGAATGCTATTGTTAATCATAGATGGAGTACAATATTTTATTATTAAATTAATTTTTTGTCGATATAATGTCGAGGAGATTGTGACAAAGTAATTCCATATAATGTCGCAAAATAAGCATTTGTTCAGTAGGGATTTTTCTTGGGAAAATGATTCTTTCGGAGATTGTGTGATTAAAAAGTAAAAAAAAAATTATCGAATTGCATCAAAAATATGTTTTTTCTTAAGAATGTACGATTAAAAATGAGTTAAAAAAGTGATTTTTGAAAAAATATCTCCCAAACGCCAATTTGAGTGAGGTCTGTATTACTGGAAGTTACTAGATTAGGCCTCTTGGATGACCAAATAACAAGCAACGTATTATGTATACACTACAAAAAACGATAACTGAATTTTTTTCACTTTCAAGTGAAAAAAGAATTATTATTTAGAATGCTAAAATATAAAACTAATGTATTTCCTATTTGACCAATAAAAGTGTTCATTTCAAAATTTACTTTTTACATTTTAAGTGAGTTTATATATGGTGAGTTTTTTAAGCTCAACCAAACACACTCGAATTTTCTCATTTAAAATTAACTTTTATTTTGTTTTAAGCTGAAGCCAAACTGAAGTATAGAGAGTGAATAGGAGTGCCCGACAGAGAGCCGAAGACAAGATTCTACGACAGCCTACTGCGGGAAATGCAGCCTTATAAAAAGCAGAGAAAGACAAAGATAGCACATTTCACTGTTTTTTTTTTTGGAAGTTTAGGCAGGCTACATTATGGTAGAGGAATATTATTGACACAGTAAGATCTTTATAGTTGTGAGTAGCCAATATTCGAACATGAATGAAGGGCCCAGGTCCAAACAACCGACACATGTCAAGGGATCGAGACCCTGGTAGGCTCGGCCAAGGTGTGACTCACCAGGGTTGAACCTTGAGATCTCGCCCATTTGAAGTTTGCTTGAGCAAAACTCGATGGGGGACTTGGTCTAGATCATGCTCGGCCTTCATGGAGTTTGGTCAAGCAAATACACACTGCTCAACCCAGCCAAAGAAAGATGATGGGGGTAGACGGGTAGTTGATCGAAATGGCCCTTTAAATATAAGTTTTCCCAGAATTTACTCTGGTAAAAAAATTGAGTAATTTATGTATTTTAGAGTTTTTTTTTTCTTCCCATCAAATACATATCTAATGATATATCTGAATACTGAAAAGGCCAAAAGCTACACTCATGACATTTGACCGTGAAATAATATCCAGCATATGGATATAAATGTCATTTAATGCATTCTCTCTGAATTGTTTGCCAAACACTTTGGTTGATTGCAAGTTATTACACACCTGAAAAGTAAGTGCAATCTGAATCTTTCATGCTATTTCATTGTCATCCGTACTATATGGTTAGTGTACCACGTGCTATGAATTTAGGATTATGGTACCACTGTTTTTTTCCTTTCTTTTGGGTCCCACGTAAAGGAAATGTCGATGTCGATGTTAAAATCGCAAGAAAGGTCACACAATCTCTGAATAAGTTAATTCTTTAGCTTTTAAGAAAAAAAATGTTCAACTTATAATCTCTAAAAAGCTATTTTGGACTAACAAGGTAAAGCAGTGTTGTAATATCCCATATCAAGTCAATTAGCAAATGATCATATTTCTGTTTACAAGAACTCAACTCTCTCTACATGATTCGATTTTTGTTTGAGAAAACATAATATGGATTCTGAAATTTCTGATTGCTTGGGTGAATGAATTCAAATATGATGGTTATTGCAAGGGAAGCAACCACAAGATTTGTGACCTGAGAAATGCACTGTATTTCGGCACATCATCTTGCGCGATTGTTCACCGGCTTTTTGAATTTGTTCCGAGTGCTGAAGCTGGGCTGTAGCTCTCAATTCTTCAGCTTTTCGATGAACAACAGCCATCCTCTTCATTAACTTCTCTTCCAGATTTGATCTCATCTTTTGTATTTTCACCTGCAAGAGAAATTAACGTTATCTACACAAAATGTAAAAACATCAGTACACCGCATTGTTTTTTAACCACGAGTTCCAAATACACGATTGGATAAATTACTTTTTATCTGTGAAAATAAGTTACTTATTCCTGACTTTCACCAACTAAAAACTTTTTTATTTTAAAGCTTAGCTAGAATGCTGATAATACTGTTTTTCTTCTCTTATAACAAGGCAGAAGCTGATAAAGGAAGCTTGAGAACAAATTACGTTCCCATCAGTCAAATCACTTTCTTATCCATTAGAATACCAACAAAATTTCAAGCATAAAATCAAAACACTAATCTAAATTAATAATTTGCCTAGATTTTTGGGAGTGCAGTACCTTCACATGAGTTTCAAACTTCCAATGTTAAATGGTCATTCATGCACGAAATATAATAATCTGCACTGTGCTGACTTATGTTGTACATTACATACATTGAGTAAAGAGATTAGGACCACCCAGCCCCGTTCTCCTACCCCCAGGGGTAGGAGAACTTTTACCCATTTGCCACGTAAGCAATGGTCAAAATGTATTTCAAAATGCCCCCCACGGGTGCCACATAAGCAGTGGTCAAAATGTATTTCAAAATGCCCTGCCCTGCCCTCCCCTCCCCTCAGCGTAGTTACCCATCATGCATTGTAAGTTTATTGATAAAATATTAGAGAAAATTATATGTTTATTTAAATAGTGATAACTCGAGCTTAACTAGTTGGAAAATATTTTTTTCAAGCCTAACATACTTTATTTAATGTGGGCTTTAAAATGAGACCAATGTCGATATACTTTTGACAACTTTAAAAATACTTTAATATTTGACTTAATTCTAATGGACAATAAAAAAGCATGATTTTGCCAATTTTCTTATCATCAATCTATTGAATTCTTGTCTCTATTTCAACTTTTTTTTATTGGATCAAGATTGGAATTTGTAATTCTAGTGAAAATACAGATTTTGATTGAACTAATGTTTGTTTATTTCAAAACAAGTGTGATTTACTTAGAAATGAGAAAATGCCAAATAAGAAAACAAATTTCACCACACAAAAACGGAGTTGACTAACAATTCGTTTGACAAAATTTCAATTTTCACTTTAACTTCTCGTAGAAGAGCTTTCTGAATAAGTCATTTTAGGTTAACTTTCTCTTAAAACTTTTCTAGCCAGAATGTAAGATAAAACACTTCTAGAAATTATTCAAACATGTTCAAAAACAACTTTTGAGTTTGCTAAACAAGTTTTGATTTTCTAAAAATTCTGTCAAACGAGCCTTGAGAACATTAGTTATGATATAAAGGAGATCAATTGGAAATTGGTTACTCGGACACAAACATATAAAGGAGAACAATTGGAAATTTGTTACTAGGACACAAACAAGTAGATAGAGAATTGGTTTTAGCAATAAATTTATGGTAATCACTATCATTGGCTCGATCCGCAGACTAACTAAATTCTACTTCAATTGCTATATGCCTACACCCACACCAACCCATTGCTATGTAATCTATTGATGATAAGAAAATTGGCAAAATCATTCTTTTTTATTGTCCACTAGGGTTGAGTCAAATATTAAAGTATTTTTAAAGATGTCAAAAGTATATCGACATTGGTCTCATTTTAAAGCCCACATTAAATAAAGTATGTTAGGTTCGAAAAAAAATATTTTCCAACTAGTTAAGCTCGAGTTATCGCTATTTAAAGAAATATATAATTTTCTCTAATATTTTATCAATAAACTTACAATGCATGATGGGTAACTACGTTGATGGCAGGGCAGGGCAGGGCGGGGTGCATTTTGAAATACATTTTGACCACTGCTTATGTGGCAAATGCCACATAAGCAGTGGGTAAAATTTCTCCTACCCACTTGGGGTAGGAGAACGGGGCTGCAGGACCACCATGGGAAGACAGTGTCCCTGTCTAGCGAGCGGCTCAATGAAGATAAGGCCAAATATACGGTTGAAAACACAAAAAATGTGCTCAATGTAGCAGATCAAGCAACAAATAGTATAGAAGGGCTCATGTAGTCAACTTCAAATTTATTGGGAATAATATAGATTACTAGATTCCAGAAGCAACTGTTAACATATTTTGCTACCTAGGTGCAGAAAAATGAACTTCAAGAAATGAACCATATTGATGCACATTGGAGATGGAAATGGATGAGCATAAAGAATGAATTTTGATGGGATCATGAAATCTTGGAACTGATGAATTAACAGTTCACTTCATGTTGTTATTTATGTCTAATTTTCATAGTATAAAGGAATGAATAATGTTATCTATCACCGGTTTAGGTGACCATACTTAATAAGTTCAGTTAAATGAATAACGTGACATTGCATTTAAGTTAATCTATCATTTAATGTCATGCATTTGGTACCTAGACTAGTGCTTGACACCAGTGTTGTTGAAAAACATTACTAGAAAGGAATTTGGGGTCAATGCAGAAATCGATGGTTAGAAATTACACCTCGAGCTTTCTGGATTCGGCTTCTGCTTTGGCATTTTGGAGATTCACCCAAGCTTGAATTTTAGCTTCTTCTCTTTGGTACCTGAAGTTCTGCTTACAATTACTACTATAGGAAAAGTTACCAAGAGAATGGGGGAACATTGTGATTCATTTACCTGAGGCAACACTTGGTCTTTTGCTCTTCCTCCCATGTACAGGATCTAGACTCGGAAATACTTTTCCTGCACTCGATATTTATCTCGAAGTGTCTCAAGCTCTTTGATATGTCCTCCTCCTCCTCTTCTCGAGAGCTCCAATTCGTTGTCACAGAATTGAATTGCATCTCATGATGTAACTTGGCTAAATGGCACTCTTGCAGTTGCATTATGTCAATAGTGTTGGCATCATCAATATTTGCCAAGGCCAATGGGCCGGACCTGTTAGCGGGAGTGTTATGGCGCACAGGCGATGTGCTAATGAACGGAGTCGGGCATCTTGAAGTGGTGGAGCTGCCAAGAGGGGACATTTCTGTTCCAACGTCACGGTGTTTTACCTCGTGAACTATTTCTGAGATGGCATCTTCCGCTGACTCTTCCACAGCATTCCCAAATAAAAACCTGTCTTTCATTGGCTCTACACACTTAAATTTGGGACAAACCTCATTTGTGAATTTATCTGCATAGGCAACATTCATATGCAAATTGTTCAATGGCAAACGAAAACTGCAATTCTGTCAATTTAAACATAGAGAAGCTAAAAAAGCACTGTCAGCATTTATAAGTATTCTTTTTTTTTTATTTCACCAACAAGTTGGCTTAGAATGCAGATATATTAGAGCACAAAATACTCTATTCCCAAAATGTTGACTAAATAGAACCCAATTCCCTTTTCGATAATTCAAAGTTCATTATCATGAAGTAATTTTAAGGCTAAAAGCAAGGAAAAAGTCACATAGCTTTGCCAGCAGAGCAAGTAGCTTAAGCTAAAAGATGGGCCATTGATTAAAAAAAGTTACTATCATAAAGCTATTTTGGAAGGTAATGGGAAAAGGTTATTATAACATTTTTTGGACAACGATGGGGTAAGGCTATGAAGTAAAGCCAAAGGATCCAAAGTTGGGAAATAATTCTTACCTTTGAGTGGTACATTGACATTGAAAGCTTTGGTTGAGTCATGATGGTCCAGTGCTAAAGCCCCTTGAAAGTTTGAAACAACTTTAGAGACCTTTTCCTCTGTAACCCTAACTTTTTCTGCAAAGACATCAGGCTGGTGTGGCAGATAACCACTGCACTGTTTGGAGCCCATTTTTGAGGTCTCTAATGGCTTTATTAAATCATGATGATGAGAAGGGGAGTCTTGGCAAGAGCTTCCACTAACAAGCCACTTCTCTGCATCTTCCCATTTTGAAGGGAAACTTTTTCTTTTGAAATTTCCACTGCTGAAGCTGAAAATAGGCCTCCCAGGTGTAGATGGAGCTTCTACATTCCTCTTTGAAACAGAAGCCACCCCATTTTCTCTACTCCTCTGAGCTGAAACTTCAAGAAAACCTCTACTTTCTGTGCCATTGTTTGCCACTGGAAATGACTTGACAAAATCAGAAGTTTCCTTGAGATTCAGCTTGCAAAGAGGGTCAGAAAACGTATCCAAAAATGGGTTTTTTGTGTTTGTCAATACATTGCTGCTCTCCAATGTTGCTCCCTGAATAAGAAACAACAAAAGTTCTACGCATTAAAAATCTAGTGCATCTTTTGCTTTTCACCACTGAATACAAGAAAATGCAAGAAAAAGTAGTAAATCTGTTTACCCCTTGAGATGCAAACAAGGAAGGAGTTTCCAAGTACTTGGTGCTAGTAAGATCCATGGCTAAAAAGCTTGAAGAGAATTTCTACCTACAAAATTTGAACTTCTTGTGAAATGTTTACAATTACATTGAAGAAAACTTAATGCTATTTTCTCCCAATATGAGCCACATTCAACACAAACTCATTGTCACAAGAAAGTGACTGGGGAATTTAGTCCAACAGTTGGGCAGTGTAAAATTTGGTGTAAAACACTGTTGAACAATGACACAAATGTATGGTAAAGTCATAAGTCTCCAGCAGTGACTGTGTAGGAGAAAGGTTACAAATATATAGTACTTGTGAAAAGAAGATTGGAGCTTTGGGGGGTGTAAAAAGCCATTATGTGTCACGGGACTCATGTCTGTATTTGCGTACCAATTATTAAAATCTTTAGTTTATATTTAGAACTTTGGAAAAGCTTCTTTGTTGTGTTTCATTTCACTTTGTCAAGTTTGCAAATATGTGTGTATATGCATAATACAGACAATTGTCCAACGAAAGAGTAACTGTATTTGAATAATGCTGCATCGCACTGTTGATGGTTAACCTCAGTTTAAGCGATGATAAACTTTACGTTCCACAATGATAAGCATCCGTGATGTTACATAACATTATTCTTTAACCAATTGTAACATTGGTCACATAAAAGTGTGCACGAGTTTGATAAAGCAAAACGATTAGGCAAGATTATGGTGTCTGAATAAACATCTCGTTTACTAAACTTTCAACCATTACTTAACACTCATGTGCTACGTAGCATTATTATTTAATCAATGTTGAGGTGTAGCATTCCTGGATACTTAGACCGGGTGCTAAGTACGATGATGCTTGGTATCAATTTAAGTGGTAAAGGACCTTGTGTCCCATATTGCTAAATATAATTGGTGTTGCATATCGTTATTTTTTAATCAATAATGATAGATGGAATTCACTGGCACTTAGATAGTTATTAAGTACTGTAGTGCTACATAACTTTGCTCGTCATATTTACTACGATTATGCAATTGAGAGCCATCTTATTTGGTAATTAAAATAAACACACCTTATAAATGAATGCTTAGAGTTTACAATGCCCATGTTCAATTCACTTCACTTCACTTTAATTTTTTTCTCATAGTTATTTTTAATCATACATACACATAATAAAATATTTTACAGATAAATTCAAAACTTTTCCTTACTAATTAACTACACATGGCCACCAAACAGGGCTGATATATACGGCTTAAATCTAACTCCTACTTATACTAGTTACGGTTGGTTCACCAAAATTTTAAAATTTTGGAAAAATGTTGGTTAGTACGAAATAGTATGACAAAATTATATGGAAGTAGGGACCCCTGTGTTTCCTTGCCAAGTGAAAAGGACCAACAGAGTTGGTATCAAGACAAACCCAAAATATTTAACAGTTTAAAACAAGTAGTATATTAATTATGTTTTGGAAGTATTTATAAAATATTTAAATTATATTATAAATAGATATAAATGAGTGATGGATGAGTGGATAACACTTGTGAATCGTTCAAGAGCCCTGCTACATTACCAAGGTGGTGGTTCACAGGGTCGGTCCAGGTTACTCACATCCAGGGGGGTGGATATTTTTTTGGGCATTTTTTATTGCACGTGGGGCCCACCTCATTGAGAGAGAGCCTGTAACCCACCTGTGAATCAAAGCTTGGTAGAGTAGCATTTTTCATCCTTCAAACTTGTGTGGATAAAAAGTGACATTGAGTTTTTATAAACATGAGCCGTACATAGGCTTTATGAAAGCAATAAAAGCTCGAACATAGCAAAATGACCTAGTCAACATGATGTCCGACCAATCACAAAGTCAACTAGAATTCTAAGAAGTCGCCAGACTAGTTAAAAAAATATTGTACCATCGACTAAAATTTGAACAATAAAAAAATCTACTATGCTCTATAATTCAGTATAATCAACTTACTAACAAGAACTTCATGGCCTTTTCTATATCTTCGATCTAATCAAAGACAAAAATGGATTTTTGGGACCACCAAGCCGTAGCTGAATTCTTAGTTGTAGCGTCTAAATCGGTAAATAACATTGATAGTTTGCTTGGACATGATAGATCAAAAATTTATATCGCGTTGATTCATTCGCTCTATACTCGACTAGAAGGGTTCCTTGGAGTGCATTGAACCATTTTCTAAGGTCATATCTTGATTAGACGTAGTACGCCAAACTTAGTTTCCTAACACTTAATTAATTAAAAATACATCTTTCTTGCAAGTTAACCCTAGAGAGGGTAGCTAAGTTTTTCTCCCTAGTGTCGGATTTTTTTCATTTTAATATTTCTACTTGTAAAGTTCTATCGTTTCTTAGAACAAAGAAAAATTAAAATTAATGTCATGAATGTGACTTGGTGGTTTGTCGAACCACATTACCACAAAAGTCAATTTGTAGTGAAAACACAATATTTTATATAGACATCAAAGGCCACTAACAAGCATGAAAAGTTAAAACTTAAAAAGGGTTGGGTTTCCATTTAGTCGTATATTTAATTGGAAATACATGTTATTTTACTTAAAATGTTATTGAAATCTTATCGTCGCAATTAGAACAAGTTTTTAAGGACGAAAATGAAGAATTCAGGGGTTGTTCTCTTTGTGTGTTGAATTCATTTTGAGTTTTATGTCTTGAGTGTCCATTTTGAGACCGTTGAAAATGTGACTTGATTATAATTGAAAACACCCAAAACGACAATGTGACTTGATTATAATTGAAAACACCCAAAACGACAAATTGTCGTTTTGGGTTTTCTTTTTAAATTTTAATTTTTTTTTTAAAAACGTATTTTCGAAAATAGGAAAGAGAACGCGTTTTCACTATTTTGAAAAATCGAAAATAGAAAACGGCTTGAAAATAGTGAAAATAACATACCCTTATTATTATTTTTTTGGGTTGCTTTTAGAAACTCTTACTGAATTAAATAGTAAAGAAATGTCTATCAATTTGATCATTCCAACATTTGTTTATTTATTACCTTCATAGTTATGAAATTTGGCCGGGACGAATGGTTTCGACCAGAAAGTATCTTACTTCCATATTTCACTATAAATTACATAAAAATTTATAAAAAAATCACCGATTGGAACCACCAACCTAGTAATCAAATTATGATCCGACAACTTGATAGTATTGATTGGATTAGTTAGTTGGCCGAGTTTGAGAACTAGGATTATATAAATTAATTGATTGTTTGAGAGCACAAATAATCTTCTCTTTTTCTTCGATGAAAAAATGAATTATTTGCTCGATTACATTGTGACGTCACAATCGAAAGTGAAAATGAAAGTGAAATATTAATTATTTTATGAGTAATGCTATTTGATAAGTATAATTTGTACACATATTTAGGCATTTAAGCTAGATTATTTATTGACTATTTTGATGAATTATTGTTTAATTTTGTGTTTATTATATTTGTTAGGTACAAATCGACAAAAATGATTGAATTGGAGAAAAAGGCTGAAGAAGGACTCAATTGCAAGAAATTCAAAGTTTGGAGACTGAAATGGAAAAAATCAAAAGATGGATTGAACGTAAGATTGAAGATTGAAGAGTCTTAGGAGGCAATTGGATGAGAATAGAAGGCAACGAGATAAAAAGAAATGAAGGAGGACTGGAATGGACATATGAGAAAGTTTAGGGACTAAGTTGCAAAGTTGGTCCCAAAAGCTAAAGCCATGCGTACGCATGGGCCTGCAGGCCTTGCATATGCAAAGTTGTGAAGACGCCTGACAAAGCCAAAAATCATTCTACCATGTGTACGCATGGAGATATCATGCGTATGCATTCTTGTTTTCGGCTTGAGCCAGCAACTCGTAGTGTGAGTTGAGTCAGCAAGCGGCTCACTTTCTTCCCACTCTACCAAATCCACGAACTTTCACCCAAACACGTACAAATGATTTCACAATTACTGTGGGTTTCAAGATTTGTATAGTTTGTCGCTCGAATTTTCAAAGCATTTGCGTAGCTTACAAGATCAACAAAACCGTCGAATGTATCTTGATATAACTATCAGCTAGCTACTCTTTTTCAATTTAGATAAAAAAATTATCATGTCCAATTCCTTCAAGTGATGGATCAATAAGAATTTGAGGAAAAAGAGAAACCAAAATCTTATGAGTACCGTGTCGCATCTAATTCCATACTGCATACTAGACATGCTTTTTATATACAAGTATTTTAAGCTCTTGTTTGACCCCTATTTTCTGAATGGTTATGCCACATGTATATAATGATTTATATAATAGTTTACATACACATGATGTGGTGAGCTATGATTGGATCAAACTTTTTCAACAAAAACAAGGACTTTCATTCTCTTTTTTTGACACATCATCTGTATGTAAACACCATATGTAACTATATTACCTGCAAGTAACATTATTTATAAAACTCTTTTTTTTTCTCAATTTATTTTCAATCACACATTTAATGGAATCCACCACATTTATTAATTTTTCAGTTATATATTTCATCAACTTAGTTTCAAATAGATCATTGAATTTCAATTAGGTTTCAAATGGGATCATTGAGCTTCAATTTAATAGAATTTGGGTAATCTAACTTTAATTTAGCTTCAAATTTCACTAGCTTCTCACCTTATCTATCTCAAATTGATAAAAATTGCTTAATCGATAATCTTGTCATCGGGTAGGATACCATTTACGCCTACACCACATTACAAGTGTTGAGAACAATAAAAGAGTATGCCATTTGAACTTTTCAAGCAAAAGACATTGTCATAATCCCTATTTTATCATTTTCATTTCTAGAGTACCATGTAACTATCATGTGGAAGATCAATTATGGTATGGTTGCAAATTAAGCAATTTCTATCATTAGTACCTCAATTGATACGAAAATTACAAAAAAGAAGGTGTTTAAAGATTGTTTTTCAAAAATCAGGTGGAAAATTTAATTATTCAAAAATCAGGTAATAATTTTATATTACAAATTAATTTATATACACACACCCCTACACTATCTAATC